ATAACTTAATTACCCTAAATAAAGGTTAAATTAAATGCCTTGCACATGATGATTTTTCATCAATAATTTAAACGACAGCCGGTGAGAGGGACTAAATTGATCTAAATGTGAACTTTGAAGACTAAATTGATAAATTAAAAATTTTAAGGATTAAATTTTAATTAGTGATAAATTTTAGAGACTATTAATATAATTTTACTCAGGCACAAAAAGTTCAATTGAAAGTTGCGGCATAATCCCTCACCAAGCCCCAGGGGCCCTTAGCCCTAATTGCATTACAACTTAGGAATTCCCCACCTGGATAGAAATAGGTCACGCTTCCAAACACCTGAAAATACCTCTCTCTCACCACGCGTCTTCAGCCTCTCTCTCCTTTCCCTTTCTCTCTCCACCAAATATAGCGATTTCGTTTGTCATCTCCTCCTATTTTTGGATTTTTCTCTAGCTCACTTATATACACCGACACACACATATACGCTTGGTCTATCTCTCTTCATATGCTTCTGCAAAGTTTCGATTTGTCTTCAGATTAGACTCTGTATTATCACATTCTCCTAATACACTTCCAAATCTGATTTTACTGTTCTTTTACTTCTGGCACATTCCATCTCTCTTTTGCTTTCTGGGTCTCTCGTATATGTATATATATATTTACTTTTTAGACCTAGGGTTGCTACCTAGACAACTATCCATTGATTGAATTCTTGTTCTTTCACGAATCTTAGATTTGTTCTCCAACCCATCTCTTTTTTTCCCCCATCGGAAACTATTTAGATTTTACAGGAAGCTCTGTTATTTCCTTTGGCCCTGTTTGAGCCCCAGCTTTAGGTTTTTTCACGAGGAACTCTGATATTTTTGGTTCTCTGTTTTAGTTTGCGATCAAGAATTGAGGGTTTTATTGTAAAGCGTAATTTCGTTTGGTTTTTGAAGGTTTTGTTTCTTTTGTGCTCATCAGGTAGGTGGAGATACTATGGCAATGAATCTTTCCAAGGATCCAATGTTTAGTACAGAAAAGAGTTTGTTTTCTGCGAAAGAGATGGATAATGTGTACCTGATGGAGGAGTGCCCAGATAAGAGATTGGCTAGATTTGGTGATTATTGGAATCTCGAGTGGAAATCAGAGAGTATTTGTGATTATAAAAAGGAGAAATCTGAGAAGCTGTATGATGATATCCTTGATTTATTGCCCTCTGATCCTTTTGGTATGGATATGTCTGCTACGGTGACGGCAATCTCGGGTTGGTTTGGGGATCTTGAGATGGATTTTGGGTTAAACACCCTTGGGTTTGGGACTGATGAAATTGAGGTCAAGAAAGGGGACGATCATCAAGTATTTGCAGGATTGAATTTGGTTTGGAACGGTGCCATGGGGTTTTATCCAGGGACAGACAGAAAAGTAATGGGGTCTGCAATGGATAAACAGTTATGTGATGCGTTGTGTGGTGATTCTTTTCTTTTCGATAGCAACGCAGAAGACTTTGTGGGTTCTAGCAATGGAAAACGTTGGGATTCTGCTACTGCTGCTACAAAACAAGAAGGGTGTTCAGAAGTTTATATAGATGGTAGTGTAGGCGCTCCCCATGATGCTTTGTTTTTTGCTCTCGGCTATCTGGGTGTGAGTGACCTTCTCTCTGTCGAAAGAGTTTGCAAATCTTTGCGTGATACAGTGCGAAACGATCCCCTTCTGTGGAGAAGTATTCACATAGATCATCCATTAAGTATGAAAACAACTGATGATGCTCTTTTAAAGCTAACTAGCAGGGCTCAAGGCAATCTTCAATGCTTGAGTCTCGTGGAGTGCTTGAAGATTACTGATAGTGGCTTAAAGCGCGTGCTTGAAACCAATTCCGGGCTTACGAAGGTCAGCATTCATTTCTAATGGTTCAATCTTATTTTTTGTTAGTGCTTCTAATTGTGTTGTTTTTCCATGTTATTTGTTCTGAGTTTTTTTTTTTTTTTGGTTTTCCCATGATATTTTTTCTTAGTTTTTTAGCATGTAATATGTGTAGACATTGAATATCTTGACATCTGCGGGAATCCTTAAACAGTCCAAGGCAGTCCATAGAACACAGATAAAATTGTTGTAACTTAATTCCTTTGGACAGCATTTAAATGACAATTTATTTGTTATTCTTAGCATTTGGGTCACAATTTAAGCAAGAAGCAGAAAAGTGTGAATGCACCCCTAACAGGGTGCGGTGCAATTGGTATGGGATCCTAGTTTTTATTGGTGATGTCATATATCTCAAGATTTGATATTCGCACTACCTTTTTTGATAACCAGATTGATATTAGCTTTTGAGAAAATAAGGGTCTTGCTGCTCATGCAATTTCTTTTATATAGTTTTTGCTGCATTTATGGGCTGTAGTTTTCAAATGGTTTCGTTTGTCCAATAAGGAATTCTCATCAATGTTTTACTTGTTCTCGACGCTGATAGTTCTAAATGTATAATTTTTTACTTTTTTTTTATGAGTGACTGAAGAAATCTTCTCTCTCCTCTGCAGTTAAGTGTTCCAGGATGTGTGAAGCTCAGTGTTGAAGGTATCCTCTGTAGCTTAAAAGAGGTTTTCAAGTCTGCAGGCACGCCTGGAATAAAGCACCTAAGAATTGGTGGGTTATTTGGTGTGACAAACAAACAGTTTGAAGAGTTCAAGTTTTTGCTAGGTGCAGGCAACCACAAGCAGCTCAGTGCCCAGAAACCACGGTTTTATGGTGCAGGGCAGTTGTATCTATCTGTTGATGATGATCGTGCAATTGATATTGAACCATGTCCTAGATGCCAGAAAGTCAGACAGGTCTATGATTGCCCAGCAGAGAGTTGCCAAGGGAAACACCATGCCACACAGTTGTGCAGGGCTTGCACTCTTTGCATTGCTCGTTGTATAAGTTGTGGATGTTGCATTGGTGGATGTGAATATCAAGAGACGTTCTGTTTAGACTTGATTTGTATGGATTGTTGCAAGCAGCTTTTGAATTGCCAGGAGAAACAGGAAGAAACAAGCACTCCCTTGAGGCATACTGTTTTCCATCAGCAGGAAAGTTACCATTTGTATCTCTGTAGCTAGAAGAGATTGATGCTTCATATACCTGTTGCCTGTTGATTATGGATTGGCAACTGCATCATTCGCGGTTGAAGTTTCTGACATGATTGGTTGCCTAGCAGTGGAATACGTGGTTTCCTTGAATATTTTGCATCTTGTGGAGGTGGATAACAGGAGAACAGCAGCATAGAAGACTGCCTACTGGTCTAGTGATTTTGCTTACCGGTCAAATTTTAGCTTAAACAGATGATTGCTCATGGTGCCTGGGGACTCTAAAACAACCACGAGTGAGATATTGAAGAATCTTATATGAAAAATATGCATCGAGTTTGCAAAGTGATGTAGGCTGCTGTTTTTGTTTGCAAATTGTGGATGGCTTTTTTAAGTTCAAGCTGAAGACAGACAGGAATTAGCAGTAGTATTTAGTCTCTGTTTCTTTATAATAGCTGTAACCACTTACAACCTTCACACGATAAATAATAATTGTTATGCAGCTGCTTTACTACGTTGTCCTTGCTATTTTATTATTGACATGGATGTCTTTTCTCCTTTATGAATGATTATGATATATACCCTTTCTAATTCTTCGACCAAGTCCGCCTTCGAGTGGCCTTTTCAATTTCAGTTACTTTATCGTACACGATTACTCTTTCCTCCTTATATTACTTCCAGTTTCTTGAAATTGTGATGAATGATACGCTTCTCGTGTTTGCATTGTTTATTGGAATTGGGTACTCTTTAGGCCAACATTAAAATGAATATTAGATGGCAGCTAAAATTTGTGGGCTGTTTTGGTGACTGATGCTTGTAGAATTAGCCGTCATCGTATTGTAATCAAGACAAAACCAGAGCATAAGCATATAGGGGTTGATTTCGCAACTGTCCACCTTCTTCCCTCCCCTTTCAAATACCTACAACTTGGATGTTGTAGGTTAAAATTCCTACTAAGCTTGATTTGGTGCATAGCATGGTGGAACAAGATTCAAATAGTCTACCCCAAAATAATTAATATAAGATCTATATGAGTTGAGTTGAGATGAGTTTGTTCCTTAATGCTCTCTTTTTTTGTTTAGCTTTTATTCCCGATTTTGAATCATTGATTGCTCTATACTTTTGTAAATGAATTAGAAGTAATGGATGATGAAAGAGAGGGACCGAAATCCAACTCATGGTTAGGTGGGCCCCTATCTCTCTCAGCAAGAAAGGCTGATCTTCAAGGTCAAAGACTCAAAACATATGCTTTGGCAAACTAATTGTGTAATGTTAAATTTCCTTTTGTGGTGGACTCTTGTTGATTTCCTGGACTCCATACTATGCCGCTGAAAGTTAGCAAGTGGTTTCCTGATGAAACGAGTTTTCAAGGTGAATTCTACCACATGAAAAAGATTGTCTTCCAAGCCCAATAGTCCTCGAGTATTGATTAATTGTTAATGAGTTGCCATGCTATTTTACAGCTCAAACCCAAGTTGCTGGTAGTAAACTTTGAATAGAGATTCTCGTTAATATATTTTTCTCATAATTTTTTTAATGATATACTATTCATTTGGGATAAAATTGTCTGGCGTATAAGTGAAATAATACTTAAACATGAAAGAATGGGAGAATGCTTTCTCTAATTATTCAATAAAGAACTACTATGCTTATATAGCCTTACAACAAGGAGAAAAAAAAACAGAGTCCACATAAATCATGGACTTAACTAGTGTCTAATGAATAGGTCAAAAACAAATCAGGCTCCCTACCTTATAGGAGTTATTAACAAACAAGAATATTAATCCCCACAAAGTAGGAACAACCAGCCAAGCACAGAACCACAATCCTTAACATCCTCCCTTAAACTGATTTCCATAGAAGATCAGTTTACTGAATCTGAATAGACGCCTAGCATATCCTGAAGCTTTAGAAACACATCAAGCTTCAAAGGCTTGGTCATGATATCAACTATTTGTTCTTGAGTTCGGCAGTGCAGTAACTTCACTATGCCATCACGTGTGAGCTCTCTAAGAAAATGAAATCGAACATCGATGTGTATACTACGACCATGCATAACTGGATTCCTTGACAGCTTAATAGTGGAACTGTTGTAACAGTAAACAATTGTGGCTTCTTGTTGCTCACGCTTTAGCTCGCTCATCAACCTTCTTAACCAGACCGCTTGACATGCTACAATAAATTCCGCCTTTGTGGTGGATAAAGTCACAATTGATTGTTTTTTTGAGAACCATGAAATTGCACCTGAGCCTAACATAAACACATAACCAGATGTACTTTTCCTATCCTCTAGGTCACCCGCATAATCGTTGTCTGTGTAAGCAAAAAGATTCAAATCTCCTACCTTATTGTAGAATATGCCCAAATCAACGGTTCCTTTCAGATAACGTAAAATCCTTTTGGCAGCCTGTAGATGCATTTGTGTTGGACTTTCCATGTTCCTGCTGATAAGGCTCATTGAGAACATGATGTCTGGTCTTGATGCGGTTAGATACATTAGGCTCCCACAATCTGTTTATACACAGTACTGTCTATTTTTGTTCCATCTGTATTTTGTACCAACTTGAAGCCAGGAACTATCGGATTGTGTACAGGCTTGCTATCTCTCATACCAAACCTTTCAAGTATTTCCTATGTGTATTTCTTTTGGCTAAGAAAAATTCCATCCTACCTTTGCTGTACTTCAATGCCAAGAAAATACCTCATTTTACCAAGATCCGACATATCGAATTCAGTCATAATTGATTGCTTGAACTTTGAGAACAAAGTTTCATCACTGCCTGTAAAGATCAAATCATCTATATAGAGACAGACAATAAGAATGTTACCTCCTTCACCTTCTTTTACAAACAATGTGTGCTCATATGGACACTTTTTGAAACCCTCCTTCAAGAAATAGGACCCAATCTTACTATACCAAGCTTGTGGTGTCACACCCCAACTCCAAGGGCATGACCAACCGTGAACCATAGATCCATAACTTATGGAACACGTAAGCCTAATAATAAACTTATAATATTAGGAAACAACATTAACACTAAATTGATCTCATGTCAATATGTCAAAGTCAACATACCTAAATCTGTTTGCCTTAACTATCTAAACAAGTATAGATGACTATACGATATATGCTACGGAGGTCACAACACTATTAGTCCTCAATCAATTCCCTGAGTCCACTATTAACACTCCAATCGTTTACCTGGAAAAATATTATTTTGAAAACTTGAGCTAAAAAATCCAGTGAAAGAAAATGCATGCATATTCAAAGTAGCTAAAAAACATATTTGACATACGACATGTAAATCAAAGGTTTGAAAAAATAACTTCATCAAGATAACCAATTTCTCAAGAATAACACAATCGGATTTCAACAAGAAATCATACCACAATGGTGAATCATATTATAATGGTGGAGACTGTACGATATCCAATAATCGATGAGAACCAAATGCAATAACTAATAACAAGAAAATACATATGACATACAATAGATAATCATAAACAAAGCCAATAAAAATATTGTGACAATAACAAATTATATTATCATCTCATACTGGAAAGGACTTGTACGATATCTGGGAACCATACCAAATGCCAGAAAATCTCAAGATTTGATCCAACACCGTATTTAGGGTCACCACGGGTTGTCGCCTGGGAACTGTTCCCTAAGACGATTCTGGTGAAGGTCACCAGGACACACCAAGAACTATTCCTTCACCCGTTGAGCACTAGGGTTACCTCAGCCTCCCCCGGGTCTGTTCTCTAGTGGCCAAGGTCACCCGCATACAGATGAATAATTTCTCTGAACTTTTAATCAAATGCTAGAATATAACTCAGGTTTGGATCCAACATCGTTCTTAGGGCCGCCACGGGTTGACGTTCGGGAACTGTTCCCTAAAATGATCCGGTGAAGGTCACCAGGACACACCAGACATTGTTCCTTCAACCGTTGAGCACTAGGGTCATTCAGCCTCTCTCGGGTCTGTTCTCTAATGGCTAGTGTCACCTGCACACAGAGAAATAATTTTTCTAAATTTTCAATCATGGTCTCATTCACTATTACAAAGTCTCACCATATAAACAAGTGATTAAGTCACAATACTTCACAAAAGAATTCATTAAGGTAAGAAGAATTGTATGTCACAAGTATTTAGACACTTAGTAAAACATTTTGTAAAGGTAGTAATGAACAAACAATATGTATCATTTTTAAAATGTTAGAGATACGGAAAAAATACGTAGCATGTCAAATCACTCACCTCCAATCAAATGATATGCTTCTTGGGTGTTGTTTGTTGTCCGAAGTAGAGTGAAATGTTATCAATGTCTTTCCTCTTTTTCTCACGATTTCCTTTCTTATTTGATGAGGTGCTCTTTCTTCCTTCTTCTCTTTTTACTCTCTATTCTTTCTTGAAAGTGGAAGACTACTTGTGCCCTTATATCCTTAATCCAATTCCCAAATGCCCTATTTATAGGCATCCTAGGATTATTCTAGAGAATATTAACACGTGACATTTTTAGGGGAGATTCCCTAGAATATTCTACCATCTTCCCTTTCCTAGATCCTTCTAAATTTTAAGCTTATTTTGCACATGACAATTCAAAAAGCATCTAGATTCATCTATGATATCCTAAAGTCTTTTCCAACCTTCTACGTCATTCCGGAACTTTCCGAAATATTCTAAATCCCTCTAGAACCTTCTAGTATTTCTTAGAACCTTTTAAAATATGTTAGACTTCTCTAGATTGTTCTAGACTATTTTAGGTTATTTTTGAAGTTTCTAGAAACTTCTCAAACATTCTAGATTCTTCTTTAAAATTTTTTTATTCCTTCCAAAATAATATTTCCCTAACTAGTTATTTGCCAAAATAGAATGGGGTATTATATGTGGAGCTTGTTTTAGTCCATATAATGCTTTCTTTAATTTATATACTTTGTGCTCTTGACTTGCAAGCTTGTATCCAGGAGGTTGTTCCACAAATACATCCTCATTCAAGTATCCGTGTAAAAATGCAGACTTAACATCAAGTTGAAATACTAACTAGTTGTTTCGTGTTGCAAGTGAGATTACTAACCTGATGGTGTCCATGCAAGCTACAGGAGCAAACACCTCTGAATAATCTATTCTATATTGATGTGAGTTACCCCTTACGACCAACCGTACTTTGTACTTGTCAACTTCACCTTTTTCATTGAGCTTGGTTTTGAACACCCATTTCACGCCATTAATTTTCCCTTCCAATGACAAGTTGACAAGCTCCCAAGTGCCATTCTTTTCTATAGCATTGATCTCATTATCCATTGCAACTCTCTACTTCTCGTCTTTCACTACTTCTTCAAAGGTAATGAGGTCCCAATCCACAAAACATTACAAGATTGTCAGAATTTTCCTCTCCTGAAAGTCCTTCACCACTTACATAATCTCTCATCCACATAGGTGCCCTTCTAGTTCAACTCTCAGGAGGGCTATCTTCTGTGGACTCACCTGATCGGCTATCTTCTGAGACTCACCTGATCCAATAACTAATTCACCACATTCCTCATTTT